AAGAAATCAGGTTTCATCAATAGATGCCGAACGTACTCGGGTTTGCCTAGCCGGAAATATATTGATCTCGCCGTCACGATTTTGTGTGTGATTGCGAACAGCATCTTTTCTTTTGCGCCTAAGCTGGTCCTGTGCGTGGGGCTGATCCATACAACTGTTCGAGTCGAGTGTATCTTCGGCTGGCTTACTATGTCTAGATACGAGTCCAATGAAAACATCGTGGATGAGGAAGAATCGAAAGATAAGGAGTTTATCAATGTGCCTGAGCCACTGGTATGTTATTTTAAAATATTCTTATGTGTTATCTTACTGACTTTTGAGGATCCTTTTGAAGTTGATTTCAAAATTTTCTGTTGCTATTTGTGCGACTATGGGAAACCGCATAACTTCATAAAACTTTGCACTCCCGGCAACATTATAGTCACTACTAATCATGAGGAAAGAATAAACCAGTCATTTTGAGATTGTAATGTACTGTTGTAGGCTCTCCATCCGCTGAAACAAAAGTGGACGTATTGGTACTTAAACGACGATCGGCAAGCAAGCTGGGAAGATCGCCTTAAGCCTGTTTGCACTTTTGCCACTGTTGAAGAATTTTGGGCGTGAGCAGGCGTTATATATTGCTTTTGCTATACTCCTCATTAAGTTTCAACTATTCAAATTTAGTTTATACAACAATATTCGTCCGCCTTCCGGACTCAATTGCCTTTGCGATTATAACGTGTTCAAAGCTGGTATACAGCCAATGTGGGAAGTACCGGAAAATCTAAAAGGAGGACGGTGGCTTATCACTGTTAGTGTCTTTTCCCCAATTTTATTTACATTTGTTTCCATCCAATGATGCAGCCGTATGTGTTTAAATAAAAAATCAACAATCGAACATCTCATCACATATTATCATTAAGTCGTCGATGAATATAGCGTGTTTACCAGTATAGTGCCCGAAACTTCTTCTTATATGCGCTTCAAATATATACAATTTTTTTTTGTTCCACGAAGAAGTGCTATCAATTGCATTTTAAAGTAACAGCTGCAAACTTTTGATGCTTGTTGTCTGTACCCCTTTT